TTCCTGTAAGTACAATCAAGTAATCATGTAAATGTCACATGAAATTATTGACCATAAAAATCAAATTGCCATTCTTAGGAAGTTTCAGACTTAAAAATGTTTTGTATTTTGATAAGTGAGGCCAACATAACAAAATATTTTATTATTTTTATTAAAGCTCATATATAAACACCTTTGAAATGCTTCCCTCTTCTTTCATAATTTAGGGTGTCATGAGACAAGGATGTGGCAAGCCACCACTGGATGACTACAGATCTGTCACCTACCATCACGAAGCTAAACCCAAATGGATGGAGACCATCAAGATAGCTCTTCCAATAGAGGAGTTTAAGAAGGCTCATGTGAAATTCATTTTTAAGCACAGGTGAGCAACAAAGCAATGATGAAATAGTGGTATGATAAAATTTAGGTTTTATATACTTCAAAAGATTGAAATCCCTGACCTGAAATAGAAAAAAGTATTGCAGTGTTTGAAGTATAATCTTTGGATGGGATATAGTGGTGGACAGATTTTTGTGTGTTGCAAAAGCCAGATCATAAATAAAAGAAGAAAACAATGACTTCAGTAATTGTGGTACATAATGGAGGCAAGATCATGGGAAATTGGCCCTCTCTAACTATTTAAGACAACACTGGTAATACAGTGATTCAAAATCATCAGTTTAAGTAGGAGCTGTCCCCTGCTGGTTTATTTTCAGTATCAAAGAATACTTGTTTGATATGCATTTTCTTGGCTGATGAAAATGCATCAGTATTCCAATCACTTAATAAATAGAGTGCTTTAATTTCTTTTCATAATTATTTATGGCTTTTTATGCATTATATTTATAAGATAAGGTAATATTATTTATTTAATGATTTTCTGAGTCTTGATATTGCTTCTTTCAGATCCACAAATGATGTAAAGGACAAGAATGAAAAGCCGTTTGCCATGTCTTTCATGAAGCTGATGCAGGATAATGGGACAACAGTACTAAACACTGAACATGAGTTGATAATATATAAAGTAAGGCACTCACCAGGACAATATATGCTTACTAATCCATTAGATATGTAATTATTTGGCCCTAGCTATCTTTGTTGAGAAGTAGCCCCTCAAAAGTAGGCTTAAAGCCTCTTTTTAGCTTCATTACCTTAAAAACTATGTATGGCACAGCAAAGAGCATAGAGAGCAGTGTGATTTTCTGTTTCCTGTATGTCTATTTTTTCCTGGAGCAGCATCTTGATGCATTGTTCAGTACAGCACTAGGGGCACCCATCATGATTGGATTAGATTTATAAAAATAACGTTGTTTGGTCCTTATGGTTAGGTCTGAAGGAATTCTTACAAAGAATTTTAGCATATTGCCTCTGATGACAATGACATATGATCTGTGGTTAAAGATTGACAGCAAGAAGTGGCAAGAGGACGACTCAAGCTACCTGAATCTACCATGGCAACGTATCAACGGAGAGGAACTAGTGAAGACGTGGACGTTTGGCATGGCTCCTACCAACAAAGACAGCTTTACCATCTCCACCACATTCTGTTCAACCAAGCTGACCCAGAATGGTAAGGTGACCTCAAAGGAGTTTGAAGTGAGGTTCATTGTACTTTTTCTTTAGTATTTTTAGTTTCAACTGAATATAATTTTTTTTTTCTAATATGATAGGTATCTACTGGTATGGCTTATCTGCTTTCAAGATCATCATTTCTTTAGGATGTTGTTTATATTTGTGTTAGTATTTTGTTGTCATTATCATCTCTCTTATGTTCACTATCAGCTGAACTTCTGGCTCTCCTTGAGTGGGGCTGGAGTGGGTCAACAGACACGGAAACCCTGAGACACTGCCTTGAGGGCTTGCGCCGTGTGCCATCGGAAGAGCTGATGGTGTTTCTGCAGGATACACTTGATGTCTTGCTGGAGATTTTGATGAATAGCTCCACAGATGATGACAGTGATAATAAAGTCTTTGAAGCATTGGCAAGTATAAGTGTTTGTTGTTAATGTCTGTTGTTAGTACAGTGTGCAAGCATGATTAGACACCTGCTTCTAGTTTTAAAAGAGATGCAATATGCACTTTATTTTCTTTATTGAAATGATTTTGGACATTATAGTTGTTTAAATTTCCTCAATCATTCATTTATTTTGGTCAGGTTTATGTGATAACCATTGCCACGGACAAGAACAAGCACGAAGCCTTCCAACCAGTTCTTGATTCATACATCCAACAGAATTTCCATGCAACCCTTGCATACAAGTGAGTCTGAATATCTATTGTACACAGCTCTTTTTTAGATGTAAGACTTATTCTTCAACACAACAGTGATGGCTGTCTCACCAATGAGAAGGCCAGAAAATGGATAGTAGCTAGCATCTCAAAGAAGACATTAATTCAAATGGTTTTGAGATAAGCAGTATCCTTGTTTACATAATGGTCTTGTTGCCTAGCTTAGGATTTAGCCCCTTTTTACTTTCTTTGTTTTTGTTTGCTAATATTGGAACCATTTAGCAGATAATCATGTAATAAACAGCATTTGAAATTTAATTAAGTATAGTTCCTAAGTTAATTAGATAATTGGTATTTATTAAAGAAAACTTTGAGAGTGAACTAGAATATTGACAGTTTTCTTAATTTAGGTGATATATATTTTGTTCATATAATTAAAAAGTTTCCATGATAAATTTAATGATCCAGCAAAGAAAAAAAAAAAAGGCCATGATTTTTACTAAATGGAAGATAATAATATAGGGAGTGTATGGATGAAACTGAGTAATCTTACATTACAAAAGACAATCAGGAATTTATGTGCAATTGTATTCTTTCCTTTACAGCAAACTCATCCATGTCTTAAAGTTTTATGTAGAGCAAGGAATGGACATGCAACGGCAAGAAACATTGAAAAAAGCCATGAAATGCCTTCAATATATATTCAAATTCATCATTCGTTCCAGACAGCTGTTTGTTGAGTGAGTTATTTTGAGAAAATAGTTGTCTTGACTGTCCTAGCTTGAATGTCATATATGCATTTGCTTGCTTGAAAATTGATCAGACATTTTCCATGTAGAGTATATTTTCACATTTTATGGCAGTGTAATTTTTATCTGGGTCATTTTGAATATGGAGGCCAAAAAATTTTTTGCTCCATGGTTTCATTTTACAGTTGTAGGTTTGTTATAGATTATTTTGCCTAATGTCCAGATTAGATATTAAGTCATAGAAGTATTGTTAAGAGATAATGGTTGTAAGCATCAACTTTGTCAGTTTATGGCAGATAACTTGGTCTAAGGAGGAAGGTATTTGTTTCAAGAGTTTCTGACTAGATTTTCTCCCTAGACTCCATGGTCGTGGGCAGGAGGAGTTTGAAAAGAGTCTTCAGCTGCTCTTGGAAGCCATGGCTAAGATGATGATTCACACATTGGACAGCACTCTTACAGTCCAAGCTCATTGCCTCAAGTATATTACCACTACCATTCCAGACATCATCACCAACTTTGATCCTGTGCACATGAGGTATGGTGTCTCTTATGAGCTAAACTTTCATTCAAAAATACAGATCCTCCCCTTTTGCCGCATTCATTTCACATTTCTTGTGCATGGCAAATACTTGAGCTATGCAAATTCTCCCTCTCCTAATGCCCACATTGTTCAGTCATCAAAACACCTTTACTTCCCTTCCTTATTTTCTGTACCAGCAACTCGAAAACATTATTTGCCACACTCAACCAGTTAATACCTCCATTTGTATCTGTCCCCTTTTCTTTGTTTTTGGGAAGGGTACACTTCCAGGATTCCTACCAGCTTACATACATACAATCTAACCATCTACACAGTCATGCAGAATAAGTGGTCACCTGACTTATTTTCCTTGTGAACCTTCTCTGAAGGAAAAGATGACTTACAAATGAAGGAGCACATGGTGTAAGCTGATGATATTTGAATTATAGGTGATGATAACAGAGAAACTGGAATTGCAGAGAATGAAAGGAAAGACCAAGGTATATTTGATAACACTTGTTTTTCTTTCTCTGAAAGTCATATCCTAGTAACGATGATCGACAACCTGGACCCAAAAAGGATTCCCAAGCAGAAGTTGATGACCATGAATGAGATCATTCACAGTGAACTTTTCAAATACCCTGAGTGTCGGCGTGTGCTCCTGCCCTCCTTCATTGGCCACATCCGGAGACTGCTGGCAGCAAATGAAGAGGTAGGTCTGGTAGGAGGTGATGCTGCAGCCTCAAAGGATGAGTTTGATGTAAGATTATTTTACATTGTTTTATTTTAATATATTAGGAAGGAGGTACTCCTCATTTTGTATTTTTATATATTTTTTCAAAGCTAATGTTATATATATTATATATATGTAAATAATTGTATATTTTATTTTTTGTTTGGTGATGGAATTAATTTCTATTTTATTTCTGTTTGCATGATTTAGCAGTCATATATTTTTTAAGCTTTATGAATAGATAACTTCTGTTTTTTTCTTCTGTGTTACATTTTGTTAGTTTGTATGATATACATATATTTAATTTTTGCCATGCATGATCCAACATCTGCCTGCCAGGATATGCTTTTTGTGGTGGTTTGTTTTTTTCCTGATTTATTTACTTTTTTGCTTAATTTTATTTATTTATTGTGTTCCTTGTAGAAACTATATTGAAATGCTATAATTGCTGGATGCAACCTAATATTTCATAGCCAGGCTTTAACTGTTTTAGGATTTGCTTTGGATGGTGACTGACTCAAAAAAGTATGCCTGATACTAAGCCCTATATATCTGATCTGTGAAAGGTATGATAGAACACAGGAAAACCAGAATTCATCTTGAGGAAGATGTGTCCCTAGAATTACTATTAGTCTTTTTTCTCCCACACTATCTATCATCTTTATTCATATATAGATTAATTTATTTATGAAGGAGTTATCTGAGTCTCTTTATCTCTCTCTATACATTGGCCATACGTGTGGTTTTAACTCTCACATTTGATGGAAGGACCATTTTGTGTAGGACT